CAGGTTCCAGCTCAACACCTTGCATATGTGATCTCACTCAGTTGTGACAATAATCCTGTGATTGTGGGTCTGTTCCCATTTAACAGATGTGGAACTGAAGGTCAGAGATATCAAGCCAGCCATTTTGACTCTGTCACACTTGGAGCCCACTTTCTTTGGTGTTAAGTGCCTTCCAAAAGTAATACCTCACTTCTTGCACCAAAAGATTGGGCTGTACCCAGGAAGAGTGCCTGGTGGGAATGCTGGTGGCCCGAGTGGACACAGCACATTGGAGGTGATGGTGTGAACCAGGCTTTTCTTGTGTGACAACATTAGAACTTGAATGAAAACAAGAAGATGACACAGGAAGACTCAGCTTCCTACAACTGGAGCAGTTCACACCTTCCACTAACCAACTGGGCAAGGAGAAAGGAAACCAAAGAGGGGAAAGGGAAGGGTTTTCATTAGAAAAGTAAGGTCAGACGTTTCCCTTCTTCTGGTCGGCCCCAACTCTCCCCTTGTCCTCTTCATTGTCTTTAGACATATCCCTGACTCTGCAGCCTGGTGATAGGGCTTATGTCCTCATGAAACACTATGTGGTGATTGGCAATGTGAGCTCCATGCCACAGGAAGGAAAATAAAACAAGATTATTCTGCTTCAGAACTCTGGTCAGTAGCTATGAAACAGTCTATGCTAACTTAAGTAGCAAGGTTTTTTTTGTCCTCTAGTAAAAAAGGGTTTTACTTTCTGGACATATTTCTATGGAATTGTTCTTGGTAGATTTTTTCTTTTTAGTAGGTAGTGGAAAAGTCATTAGGTCACTTTTTCTGCCTGGTGCTTAATGGGTGGAAGCCTTTAAGCTAGGGTTCTTGGTGAGTAACCAAACTGAGAATCAACCTACTCTTTGGGCCCCTAAAATCAGCCCATTTAGATATTCTCATGAATTTTCATCGTGAATGAACAAACACCCGAGGCAACAGGAAGTCAGAAGAATAATGCAGTATTCCTTCTCATGGTCCATATCAAAGATCCTAGTCAAATGAATTATGAAGAGAGAAATTATACTTTTTAAACATCAGTGCTTTCTTTTGGCCATGAATGTATTGATTCAGGGCGCTTGTAAAAAGCATTTTCATGGGGGAGATTTGAAGCAAGACAAAGTAGGTACATACTGGCAGTATAAAGAGAATCAAATCTCTTGTGTGATTTTAGAGATAATCTAAGCGCTGCTTAGACACACACGACAAATTTTATTCACCATTTTCTTTTCATAAGGCACATGAGTGGTGTGTAAGGCAACATGCCCACATTTCATGGGCAGAAACCAGAGTCACCTGGAGGACTTGTTAAAATGCACATTGCTGAGCCTCATCCCTGAAGTTTCTGATTTGGAGTTTCTAGGGAAATGGCTTTCTCTGGAATTGGTGTTTCTAGCAGGTTCTTACTGACGCTTCTACTGTTGGTCCCAGGTCACACTGTGAAGCCCTCTCTTCACCTCCCCTGTGGGCCACTTCCCAGGTTTGCTCAGAGACTGGTAATGAGATGCAGTGTGAAAGCTGCCAGGGCCAAAAAATCACCTTTCTTAGAGTTTAGTGACAAGTGCTTCTGAGTAACTCGACCCCTGGTCCTGATTCTGCCAGCTGGAATTATTTGGGATACACTTAATCCCCATGTAAATGCCCCCATAAACACATTTATCCTAAGGAAAAGTGCAGCTAAGGGTGTGTTTGGCAACTTATACTTTTATGTTCTGTGCCAGAGAGCTCTTGTTCAGTCTACTCTGCTGTCCCCAAGCTTAATTTTTAAAAACATTGGAATATGAAAATAAAGTGCATAAACTTCATGCATACTGCTTGATGAGTATTTACATATATTTATACTCATACAACTGCCTTCCACATCAAGATACAGGCCATTCCAAAATGTCCCATTGTGATTTTGTTTGTTTGTTTGTTTTGTTTTTTGTGTGTGGTACTGTGATACCCAGGGCCTTGGCACTGGGCTGCATGTCCAGCCCCTTGAAAAATTTTTAAAAAATTTTAAGACAAGGTCTCACTAAATTGCTGAATCACTCAGGCTGAGCTTGAACTTAAGATCCTCCTGCTTCAGCCTCTCAGAGTTCTGGGGTTGCAGGTGTGAGTCACCATGTCCAGTTCCATTGTATTCTTTCCCAGTCAGTACCCATCCCTCAGAGGAACCATTGCTTCACTTCAGTTGCCACAGATACAAAGTGTTTGCTTTTAAACTTGATGTAAGTGGAAGCATACAGAATAACTCTTTTGTATCTGACATTTTTATTCAAAATGACCATGAGATTCAACTATGTTGTAAATAGCAGTAGTAATGCTTTCTTTTTTATTGCCATGTGTCATCCCAACTTTAACATGTTTTATAGTCTTGTTTAATTCCTTCTTCCATTTTGTACATGTTTAAGATTGGTAACAATCTTAGCTAACATAGCTGCTTACTATGAACCAGCATGGTGCTAAGTACTTCATCACTTAATCTTTTCAATAGTATGTCATTAGGACTATTAATCCTTTTTACAGATGAAAAAACCAAGGCTTAGTAACTTGCCCATGGTCTCACAGTGGAGAAGAGAGAGTCAATGTTTAAACTCAGATCCTTCTAACTCATGATCCCAAGTTCTCAGCTGTTGTACAGTTGTGCCTCTCATTCCTGGTGCTTTACTGAGAATCTCCAGTGTGAGATGACCCCAGAGAACTACAGTTTCCTGTTTTCAAGGACCTTTCCATTCTCAGCCCTGTTTTCCTCCTCTTGCCTGATGGTGCCAAGCTGAACTAGATCAGTGTGCTGCTGAACTAGATCATGACATTGTCATTGCACCGTCTCAGTTTTCCCAACTCCTTCAAGTGAGCGGTTGGAGGCATGATACCTCTTATATGGCTGATTTTCTACAAAAGTAAAATTTTCGATTTTGCAAGCTCTCCAATCACTTCCCAGATTCCTGCCTTTATTAAGCACAAATAATAGAAGAATTCATTTATCCCTATGGTTCCCTTTAAGGTTACACCTAAATTGTCTCTGAAAAATAACTTCTGTTGAAGGAAATATTTAAACTTCCTTTGATTTCAGTGCCAAATAAACCCTTGGCAGAGGGAAGTTTATTCTTAAATACAAATTACTTGGTTCATTTATGCCTCATTTCCTTTTTATTCTGCTAATTAGAGATGGGAAATTACTGGGCATCCTAGTCCATGGTATCAATTTGAATAGATCTAAGGAGAGAATCAGATGTTCTGCAGTGGTTTTAAGCCTGGCTTTGATTCAGTATCTGGATTACAAAACCTCCACATATACCTATGATTAAGAACATTTACTTTTATTTTCATATTCTTTGTGATATATGCAGGCCACAGAACTTGGATTTTTATCGCTAAGTACATAGATTGGTGTTGTTTGGATTTATAAAAGTGGGTAATCTTCTAAATCTCTGTCTTCTAATAGGTAATGAAGTTAAGGGTTTAAAAATTGGGTCCTTTTTGCTTGATCTACCATTACACTACATTTTTTGTAAATCACATAAAATCCATTTATCTGATAATATTTCTGTAATTCCAAATTATATCTTAAGTTTCATTTAGGGAAGGCCTTGGGAATGTTTCTTTCTTTTTTTTGGTACTGGGGATCAAATTCAGGACCTTGCACTTGCAAGGCAGGCGCTGGAACCACTGAGCTAAATCCTCGGCCCCGGGAATGTTTCTTTCTTTAAAGAGCCATAAGCTTTCTGGACAAGCAGTACGTTAGATCAATGAAATGACTGAGGAGGGAAAGGTTTGCTTTATGAGATAATTTCAAAAGGAATGAATGATAAAACTGAAGTCATCATCTTGGAATTTCAGTGAAATAGAGGACCTTGCATTCATTAAGAATGGGTATTTTTATCACTAAAAGTAGACAATGAGATGTTATGTACCTTCTAATGATGGAATAGAAAGTATGCAACATCCCCAATGAGGCATTCTCTGAGGAGTTTTGACTAACGAAGTAATTCAATAGCATTGGAACTGAATCTAACCAGGCTTCTACTTCCAATTTCCAGAGCACCAGTAAATACAGAGGATTGAGGTGTGGTTCTCAACCTTAGCTATACATTTTACCCATATGGAGAATTTCTCAAAGTCCCAATGCCTAGGCTGTGTCTCAGATCACTCACATGAAAATCTCTGGGTCTGGGTGTCAGTATTTTTTAATTGCTACTCCTAATATTAAAATGTCAACTGAGCTTGGAAATCATTAGGAGAGAGGACCAAATTAAAGGACACAACATTTATGCAGTATGTGAGAAATCTCATGGAAAAAATAAAGTGTTTACCAACACATAAATAGCACCAGAAAATGGGTAGAGGCAAGGGACACTTATAGATGAAAAGAGACTTGAGAAACATAAACCTAATGTGATGTGAAGACTTTGTTGTGATCTTGATTCAAACCAATCATCCATACCATGACATTTTTTTTTTTTTAGAGAATCAGGGAAATTTAAGTAAATTCTGACTATTAGATGATAGTAAGGCATTGCATATTAATCTTGTTACTTATGATAATGACTTTGTGGTTATGATAGAAAAAAGTACTTATAGGTAGAGATACATACTGAGGTATTTATGGATGAAATATGATGTCTGAGATTTGTTTTAAAATATTCTAGAAAAAACTGGTGATTTCAGAATAGATACAAATAATCAGCAAAATGTAAAACTTTGAAAGATGAGAATGGGTACATTCAAGATGAGGGGTTCATTTTGCTATTCTTTTTACTTTTGTGCATTTAAAAGATTTTCAGTAAGAAAAGGATTAAAAAGGAGTCATAAAGGTTAATTAGATGATAATGTATCTCTTTCACTGTAATACATTAACAGTACAAAATCTCAGAAGATCATATGAACTGCAAACCGGCAACAAGAAGAAGTATAACCCTTTGTGTCTATGCAAAAAAAATTTGCTTTAAAGCAAAATATAGATTCAGTTATTAATTATGTTTATATCTTCTTTGCAGATGATTCTGGGCCTCCTCCTTCTACTGCTATCAACCAAAATGAAACCTTTGCCAAAGTTGTTTTTAAGCCTAATGTGGTACAACAAGCCAAGATTGCACAGAATGGAATTCTGGGAGATTTCATCATTCGCTATGATGTCAACAGGGAACTGAGAGTTGGGGACATCCAGGTAACAGGTTCTGTGTTGCTATTTTATAGTTTAATATTTTTCTTTAGATTCAGAACTGTTTATTCTGACACTTACCTAAGGGCAAAAGATCTTTCTTGTTCTTAGTAAATGTTTTAACCCAAAATATGTCTTCAAAGAGACTCTTGATACTCTTTTGCTGGAACCTCAGGATACCTATTTCCTGCTCCATTAATCTGCACAGCAAATGACATCTATAATATAAGTTTTTCCTGTGGTGTTTTAGATTAGGTTAGAATTTTAGTTCATCTCCCCTTTTAATTAAACGAAACTGCTCTATAACTTATTTTTCTTCAGGTTTTATTACTCTAGAGACAGGGTGGGAATTTTAAAATGTATTAATGTGCATCTAGAATATAGATAACCTTGATGTCGGGTAAGATGCTTGTTAAAAACTAAACAATACAAGAAACAGGATTCTCAAGTAGAAAGGTCAGAGGGGATGGAAAATTAAAGTCGAACTGGTTGTTATGATCAGTAATTTTTTTTGTTTTTTGAATGCTGAGAAATCCAACCCGGGACCTTGCACATGTTAGGCAAGCTGTCTACCACTGAGCTACACCTCTGGGCCACAATTAATGGAATTTAAAAGGATGATTCTCTCCTTATAAAGATTAATTAGCAGCCAGTTCTTTGAGGGGATCAGGACCATAGATAATGTGACCCTAGTCTGTTTCATGCTGTCATCGAGCTCTAGAAGTTCCTAGGTAATTTCCCTCCATTTTTACTTGAGTTTTCCTCCACCAGGTTCTAAATGGCTATTTTGTACACTACTTTGCTCCTAAAGACCTTCCTCCTTTACCCAAGAATGTGGTCTTTGTGCTTGACAGCAGTGCCTCAATGGTAGGAACCAAGCTCCAGCAGGTGAGTGAGTGCAAACCGCCCAATCTTTCTCCTCTCAATCTTTCCATGGACAATGATCAGCCTTGTGAATAAAATTCACTTGATGCCCAATGTGCACTTACCTGGCTATTCCTACCAACAAAGAACATTCTGGAATTGATCCATTGATATCATTGATATAAACTATTGTTTTAATATGGTGGTTTTAGTAGAGAAGAGAAACATGCTACAGAAACACTGACGTTCAGGGCACTGGCAGAGTGGATAAAGTGAGTGAGATAGGAATATAGTGAGATGGCCACTCAATACCATTGTTGACAGAATCCCTTTGAGAACAGTGGAGTAGAATCACTGGAAAACCCCTTGTCACATCCTTAGAATAATTCTCACAGAATTTACAATGAATCTCAAAAGCACAGGGCTGGAAGGGACATTGAGGGGACATGTAATCTGGGCTGAAAAATTAAATTATCCTGAAAATACAACTATTTATGATTTTTTACAAATCATTACCTTTTGGTAATTCCTTATCTTACTCTGGTATCATAAATATTGGAATTTAGAATTTATAATATGTTCCCAACTCACATAATGTCTTAGCCACTTTCATGTCACAATATCCAACACCTGCAACTTAAATGGAGAGAAGTTTATTTTGGCCCATGGTTTCAGTCCATGATTGCCTGCCTCCATGGCAGAAACAGGATAGCAGAGGGACATGGCAGCGTGAATTAGAAGAGAAGGGAGGAGCCAGGGACAAGAATACACCTTTCCAGGCCATGTCCCCAATGACCCACCTCCAACCAAGCTCCACCTCCTTAGCAGCATGGCAACTATAATGCCCCCGTGATCCAATCACCTTCCAAATTCAGGACACAGTTGGGGGATATTTTAGATCTTAATCATAACACATAATGTAAATTGAGGGCTATTATTGGCAGATGATTATGTTTGTAAATTCATAAAAAACTGAGATCCTTCAGTTTTTATTTCTAAATTCATTTTCTATTTTTTCAATTAGTAATGCATGAATAGAATAAGATACTTTCTCAACACTCATGAGAACCCTCTCTGCCATCTGTTTCTACCTGTAGGTCCCAGCCTACATGTGGCTAATCATGGTTCTAGCTAATAATTATTGCATTTTATCTCAGTCTATTACTTTATAAATTATTTCTTTCTTCATTTATACTTATAAAATCATGTAGTAAAATCTGTCAATCTTTTCTTTTATGGTCTTTGGTTTGCCTTTACCGCCAAACAGCAAAAATATATATTCCCAAATGTGATGTGAAGATTAACTTTTCTTTCAGAATATAACTAAATATAATTTCTAATTAATATAGGCAGACAATAATCTCACCCTCTCAAACACCTCCTTGTAGCTCTTCAATGTCACATTTTTGTCCAAGTTCAATTTGCCAACTCCTCTATTTTTATTACTCTTCTTTCCATCCTACATCTCTGACTTTCTGTTTAGGTTTACTTTTCTTTTTAAGGAAGAACACCAATAATACTGTTAAAATCTTTTAAATTGTGGGTGCATTGTGAAGAATTCCCCTAGTTTCATTTGCCTGGAAAAATGACTTACTTCATTCTTTAAAGATATTTTTACTGGATATGGATTCTAGGTTGACTTCCAGTGTCACTAGCTTCCATTGTTATTGTTGAAAAGTAAGTTAAAATTTTAACTTCTATTCCTCTGAGGGGTGTTTTTATTTTGACTGTTTTAAAATTTTTCTTCATTGTCTTTAGTTTAAAAAAGTTTTTTTTGTAGCTTTAAGATGATGGTTCTAGGCCTGGATTTCTTCTTATTGATTCTGCCTGAAGATTGTAGTAGGACTTTATGAATTTGTGGATTCCTAAGTGTACTAAATCCTAGTCTCTGAAATTGCTTTTGCTCACTTTTTCTTGTGTGATCCCAATGTTAGAGATTCTTCATTCCTCTGTTTTCCATGCTCTGTTCTATATGTTCTGCCTCTTGCTTTTCCATACTTCATTCTCAACCTATCATCTAGCTCACAAATATTCTCTTTAGACATGTCTAGTCTGTTGTTAGACTCACCCACTGAGTTATTTAATTTATTGTACTTACCTGGTATTTCTAGAAATTCTGCTTTATCCTTTTTCATATCTACTCTATCATTTTGCTATTTTACAAATAATATAAACATTTTTGACAATGTGTTTTTATTTTCTCAAGTAAAATATGCATAGTTGTTTGTTTATTTTTTTATTAGTACATGTTTGCAGTACATAATAATTACACTTTTGTAGGGAACTGGTACATTTACATAATCCATTTTAATTTTTCTTATATCTTCTACCCCTCCTTAGTTGTTCCACTTCTTGGTCCCCTTCCCATTTGCAAAAGCTTTATTTCCATTTTTTTTCTTCGATTCTTTTTTTGGTCACCCACCCCTTTCCCTCACTCCCTCCATCCTAGTTATTTTAAAGTCTATGCCTGGTAAATCCAAACTCTGGGATCTTCTAGGAGCTGTATTTATTGTCTCATGTCTTCTCTTCTTGAGTGGACAGATGATGGACTTATACTTGATTTATACTTGAAAATTTGTAGAAACAGCTTGAGGCCTGGAGTGATGGTCTGGTCCTCTAGAGAAAATTTTGGCTTGTTTCTGTTGGAGACATGGGGAAATTAAAATCTGGGATCATTTTAGTCCATTTTCAGGGCTTCAGTGTTTTCTCTGCACCTCAGATGTCCCAAGGCTGCTCTGTGGTCCTTTCAAGTGCTGGTATATTTCTGTTTTGCACAAAATACACAGGGTTTTCCAGAGCATCCACCCATGGTGGACTCTGGACTTAAACTTTTGGCACTCAAAGTTGCAAAAGTGATGCTCAGGCTCTGAAATCTCTTTGGCTTTGACAAACATCCTTTAAAAGAAAGTGATCTCAAATGCTGAGCTTACTTCTTTAAATTTTCATCTTATCCTAGACAATTTTCTCATTGTTTTGTTAACCCTCTGATATTTTCAAGATTTAAAAAAAAATCTGCATATTCTTTGACTTTTTTAGTTGTTCTCAGTGGATGGCTGAGTCCAAATTGCTTACAGGTTTCTCAAGTTTTTCCCATAGTTTTAATCACACCCAAGTGAAGTGTATCTTGATGGAGGTTGATTATTAATATCTGAGAGACCTCACAGCCTTTATATATTTACCAAGTACTTTGTTAGATTAGTAGCTTTCTGTACTAAAAGTTCTTAAGTGCCATCTGTTGACCAAATTATTTTTATGGTTTTGGTGTCTAGATAATTGATGTAGATCATGACTTCCTTGAGGCCTCTCTTGGCCACAGAATGCCATATTCATTAGGCCTTACATATAATGTAGCATGACAAATCCATTTGGATTTTGAAATAATGGACAGTTACTGAGTATGTGTCATATGTTAGATTCTCTTAGGTATCTCCTTTATGTCTTCAGATTCTTTCCTTTCTCTTTCTCTTTCCCTTTCTTTTTGCTTGCTTTCCTTCTTCCTTTCTTCTTTCCATCCTCCCTCCCTTACTTTCCTTTTTTTCTTTATTTATTTTCTCCTCTCCTTTGTTTTAAATAGTTCACAAAGACAGTATTTATGTTTCTTTGAAGAAGCATAATAAAAAGATATTGTTGATTACTACAAATAACCTTAATTTCTGTTACCACCAAATATTTTTTGTTCTGATGTTTTTATTTACCATCATACCATGAATATAACTTGTTAAATATTCTTTTAAATCTTGATTTTAGTTGGCACAGAGCAGCACTCCCCAACAGAAGCTTCTGTAAGAATAACAGTGTTCTGTACCTGTGCTGTCCAATACTGTAGCCACTAGTCTATCGAACACTTGAAATGTAGCTGCAGCAACCAATGAACTGAATTTTTAATTTAATGTAAATTTGAATAGCTAATGGGAGAATACAGGTGTGGAACATTTACTTACCCCCCACCCATTAAAGACTTAAGTTATTCTCATGTTTTGCCATTACAGCATTGGAATGACTATCTCTCCATAGAAATCCTTGGTCAAATGACCAGTTGTTTGCTTGAGTTAGATCCTTAGAAATGGGATCACTGGGGGACAGAATACCAACTTCATTTGTGAGTTTTTTAAAAATAAATTTTATTTTATTTTATCCCATTCCCTCCCTCAATCCCCCTCCCTCCCTATGACATATGTGATTTTGATAAATTACAGAAAACATTTTCTAGAAAGACCATACCAATTTATAACACTCAAGCCTGTTATTACAGTTGGAATTTCAAATGGACTAAAAGGTTAAAAGGGTTAACCAGACTCAAAGGTATGTAAGAAATACAGGCACATATTTAACTAGTTTTGAATTAAGGGGAAATTTTCTGAGCCTACAAGTAAAAAATGAAAGTAATTACAAAGAAAAAAAATCAATAATTTAGCTATATAAAATTAAAATTCTGTTCTAAATTCAAAAAATGAAAGTCAATAAAAGGCTGGAAAATTGTATGAAGGAAAGAGACAGTTTATCATTACTACATAAGAAGCTGTTCCAGATCAACCCTGCATTAAAAAATGAACAAAAAATATGAAACAATGTACAATGAAGAAACAAGAAGATTCCATGAACTAATGAAAAAAGGCCAAGTGTAATAGTAACTAAAGAAATATAAATGAAAATACTATTTTTATTTTTATAATTTCAAGCCTTAAATCATGTAAATTACTTATAATGACACTTTCAATAGTAGGCATTGTAGAACTTAACACAATTATAATATTTAGATTTTTCCCAATAAATTCCTTTTTTTTTTGGTACCAGATTGAACTCTGGACCTTGTGCTTGCGAGGCAGGCAGTGGAACCACTGAGCTAAATCCCCAATAAATGATTAAGAAATGCTAAAGTGGAAAAGTGCTTTGTGAAATCTACTGTATTTTCACTTTAAGGCTATTAGTTGCCCAAAAGTTACAGCAGCTCATAAGACTCATATCTTTGGGTGTCTGAGATCACTTCAGGTTCAACCCCAAACCTAGTCCATTCCAGTGCACTG